TTTTTTTTAATTACAGAATTATTTCACCAAGAATTATAGGTTTGGATAATAGTAATATCTTTCTGCAATCAACTATGCATTTACTATGACCCAACCCAACTCACCACACCTACTCCTATTAAGTTCTGCACGATTTCTCTGAATATTATTTTACCAGTTTTGGAACCCATTTCAGGTGAGGTTTTACAAGCCACTGCAATCTTAGCCTTTACTAACCCTAAAATCAAATCCTGAATTTTCCTTCGGATTCAGTGCTTCCCACTAGATTTTTCCATTATATAATACACCTCCCACTACTTGTCCTAAGAGCCCCTTCTTTTCTAATCTAACACCCAAAAACAGGCTTAAATCTCTCTAAAAAAATGTTGGCAATGGAGGAAATTTTGTGTGAGCTTGAAAGAGATGACATTAATGAACAAGGGTTGCCACCAGGTTTCAGATTTCACCCCACTGACGAGGAACTGATAACATTTTATCTTGCTTCAAAGGTTTTCAATGGCAGCTTCTGTGGAGTGAACATTGCTGAAGTTGACCTCAACAGATGTGAGCCTTGGGAACTTCCAGGTACATATATTCCTCATTTTCTTGAAGACTATTTTTTTCTGCTCTTGGGCTTTTCCTTTGACAGAATTCACTCGTTTCGGCCACTGAACCCATGATGCATTTGTTTTGAGCAGTGGAATTCCTGTATTCATTTGAACACTAAAGATTCTGGGATCATGTGGACTGTGCTGTTGATCCTAAATCTGCATTATTCTTGGATATATTTCATATAATTCATTTGTGCTATGGTAGTGTAGCTTGACGCTTAAAACTGATAAAGTTGTAGGCATCTTTATACCTAAAACTTTCAGATATCTCTCTCTTTTGTTATTGCATTAATTTTTCTAGCTTGCAGAAGCTATTAATGACAAGTGCCCTTTTAATAAATTCCTCAAATAACTGCAAGTTGATAGATTTTTCATAAACCCGTACAGTTGTTTGCGAGAAATCTATCTGATTTACGTTTGGTTTGGGCAGATGTGGCGAAAATGGGAGAAAGAGAATGGTATTTCTTCAGCTTAAGAGACAGGAAGTACCCAACTGGATTAAGAACAAACCGAGCAACTGGTGCTGGTTATTGGAAAGCTACAGGAAAAGATAGAGAAGTGTACAGTAGTGGATCAAGTGGTGCACTTCTTGGGCTGAAGAAAACCCTTGTTTTCTACAGAGGAAGAGCCCCAAGAGGGGAGAAAACTAAGTGGGTCATGCATGAATACCGCCTTGACGGAGACTTCTCCTGCCGTCACACATGCAAGGTCACTTCACTCACTCACTCACTCACAAACTGAAACTGTGCTGTTTTGTCCTTCTAGGGTTGACTTGTTTTTTCACTGGGAGAAAAAGATAACGATGAAATTGGGAACATTAAAGGCTTCATCCGTGTGCATACGCAATGAAATATCTGATTCTTGATCATCCAGTTTAGGGCGTGAATCACTAGAAAATTTAACTACTGACTAAGTCGGCTGGTAACAGAGAATCAGGACATGAGATTTGTAAAATGATTGAGACCCTAAAATCATTTTTAAAAGAAAAGAAAGATGGTTAATTTCTTCTGAATCTCTCTCTGTACATTTTGTTTTGTTATGCAGGAGGAATGGGTGATTTGCAGGATTTTGCACAAAACAGTGGAGAAGAAAAATCCAGCACTGTACCAAAATTACTGCATTACTGCTGCTGCTGCTGCT